AAAAGTAAGATGAAATGTTTCATGAAAATACTTTACTCTTGGATTACATGTATAATAAAACACTACACACTAATCAAGAGATAGAAAATCTTCATGAAACATTTTATGATACTTTTTTCATGATCATTAATATTACTCTTATAAATATATGGCTGTCATGACCCAAACCTGCCCTAAAAGTTTGGGTCATAATCGGCTAGTAGTCCGTAAATTACCGAAAGCCTCAAACGATCATACAGAATATTACGACTAATGGGGCCATAAACGGAAGCATATAATAATGAAAAGTCCATTAAGTTGTGCCAATCATGAGTAAAATTATAAATTTAACCTCATAATACAATCACACATCTACATGCCCAAGTAAAATATAAGTACCATAGGAAATTTGTATATAATATTCACAAACTCAAGACCATAATAGCAAAACAAAATGAGGTCAAGGTGTGGTGTGAGTTAAAGACAACTCCATCTCGGAGGCATGACTCGATGGGGTTACAAAATGGCTCCTGAAGCTGACTCTAGGGGTTTGCTCCATGCTGCGGATTACCTACATGTGCATACATAAAATTTGGTGGGCGAAGCTTAATGAGTAATAATACAGTAAAGTAGTGTAAATAAATGATCATAAGGTTCTCATAATATCCATAATCATACAAACAAACAGCCTTAGGCCCAACCATATAACAAAACGGCCTTGGGCCCAACATTTATCAAAATGACCTCGAGCCCAATCATATATCAAAATGGCCTCGGAACCAACATATATCACAATGGCCTCGGGCCCAACATTTATCAAAACGGCCTCGGGTCCAACATATATCAAAACAGCCTCGGGCCCAACATTTATCAAAATGGCCTCGGGGCTCAACATTTGTCAAAACGGCCTCGTGCCCAACATTTATCAAAACAGTCTTAGGCCCAATCGTATATCAAAATATATACATGAGAACATATCTATACAAACTTCCAAGACGGATCATTGGCTTATACAAAACGTCTAAGACGGATCATAGACAAATAAAAGTTACTGAGGGTCAAAGTACATTTTCCCGATTTATCATAATCATTGCTCAAAAGGAAACTCATTCATTTTTATCAAATCATTCTTTCAAAAACTTGCCCTAGCATAATTGCTCCGAAGATTTCAAGCACATTTTATCCTTTCGGAAGCACTTATCAAGACACATAATTTATATAAAGCATAAGTTTCACAATTGCAAAGTATTTCATATGAAAATACCGCTACAAAGAAATTACTCACAGTGCTTGGTCGGATGATCCACTTTAACGGCTCAACCTGCAGAAACATAGCCAAGCATAACATTTCAAAACACATTGCCTTCAATTCACTCAATCGATTTTATTCGTTATGTAACCGTTCAATCGTTCCTAATCACTCTTTAATCTCTCTCATGTGTTTAAGGAAATAGCAAGAAATGAAAGGAAACTAAGTTAGGGTAAGAAATGGCATGAAATGGTTAAAGAGGAAATCAGTAACACTCACTAATTTGAGCATATCTAATTGTGTACTTAGAATTTGGATGTAAGACACCACCATTAGAAACAAGACTTTGAGGGCTTGAGTTTAGACTCAAGAATCACTTAAAATGGAGTCCGGATGAAGGAGATATACTTATTTGAAGTCACTAGATATAAGCTGAAACATAGCTGGCCACACGTGCACCGACCTTGACCGCTCGTGTAGTGACTAGGCCGCTCGAGCGTTGGGTCAAGCAGAATGCAATCTCATTTTTTTTCTCATGTTCCGCTCGTGCGGAGCCCGTGGTCGCTCGTGCGATCTGGGCAAACTCAAACAATCCGAAAATGGCTAAAAATGCAAAACACTCCAAACTCATTTCCAAGCTCAAATCAAAGCAAAACTCACTTAAAATCATGATACGTAAGCATGATACAAGTGTAATTCCACATTGAACTTATCAATCTGACATCAACAACAATTTCATTGTCTCATCTTTTCACAATATCATGGTTTACATACACAAATTCAAAAATACATATATCCATGAATGATTTTCTCACAAATCTTGTTTATGTGCACCATCTGGTGTTTGTTTCATGGATCAATCATAAAAATGAACTCAGATCAAACAATGGTGTAGAGATCAAGGTCTAATATCATGCCTTAGCCCTAGTCACTACACAACTCCAAACCCTAGCTCAAAATTCCTAATTTCTTCATGATTTCTTGACAAGGATGAGTTAGAGACAAAAATTGTATATAAATTTTCATACCTTAACTCTAATCTATGGTTTTCCCCTTGATTCCCTTCAAATCCCTAGCTTTCTCCTCTTCATCTTTCTCTAACTCACACTTTGAGCTTTTTTCCCCCAAATGAAGAACAAAAGGCTAGTTATATATATTTAACTAAAAAATCTTAATTTATTCATTACGAATCGTAATTTTTCAAAATCTTACCAAAGGCTCTAAAAATCATGCTAATCATTGCTATGAAGTTGGTTTTCATTTATTGCGTCTCTAAGGCCTTCAATTTCAGTTCAAAATTTCAATTGTAACAGATATTCCTACTTTCAACAAATATTATTTCAAATTCACATAATTCACACATTCAAACTTGCAAATTCATATCAAACACATAATCACGTGTATAATTAAGCATAGTACGGGTTGGGGTATTACAATGGCGGAGATCATACATTGAATGAATTTAGACTACCTTTCTTTGAAAAATGTTTGAGTACTATGAAAGTTTATCTTGTAAATGAGGTGAATGATATAAATTAAAAGTTGATGGAATGTGAGTCACACCTAAAATAATTGTGATCCATAAATGTAGTGGGTATGTAGAATTGTTGTTTTACTTTTACACTTTGCTATAGGGCTGAGGAAAAAATAAAAAAATAATAAAAAAATTCACAAACTAGTACAATCCAGACCAAAACGCATAGTTTGATTTGATTTCCGTAATGAATTGTTTCATCTTGGTTCTTCAAAATAGGTGAATTGTATTTCACGATTTGGTCTGTAGTTTTACAATTATGAGTCCAATTTGGAACTGAATATATATAGGATAACTATCTCAAGTTTAAAATTTGAAATTGACCATAATGTTAGGGCCTGTGGGGTCACCATGAGTTCTATTTCGATAATTTAAATAATTCATTTTGTAGAGTCTTTTGTGTATATCATTCATAAAATAAATTATATCTATTCAATAGTCCTAACATTTTCATTATATCGCATTTATCTCAAAAAAATGAAAATAAAAATGGATAGTCTTTTTTTAAAAACATATTGTTTATTTTTTTTTTTAGACAAATGTGATGAAATGAAAAATTACAATTATCGGATAGACCTAATTTTTTTCATAAATAATCCATACGAAATGTTTTACAAAATGAACAGTTTAGATCATTAAATGGGGATTTGTGGTGAGTCCCATCGGCCCTAATATGACAGCGAAGTTCAAATTTTGATATGAGAGAAGGTCAATCCTATATATATATATATATGATAAATAAGATATTTGAATAGTTATGATAAATAATATATATTTATATTTATAAATTGTAACTATTTATTCTTACAAATGTGCTGTTGTCTAGTGATAGAACTACTTATAAATAATTATTTAGACAAATATTAAATTGTGAACAATATGAAGTGAATGTGAACAGTGGCAATTCTAATTTTTTTTGTAGATCCTCACTCAAACAATTTGAACTCCACAAATTCTACAAAATAATAATAATAATAACTTTTAAACTAATTAAAATTTGAACTTCTCTACCTTCAAGTAAAATAAAATTTTAATATAATATTATCAACATAACAAGAAAAAAAATAAAAATTGCACACGTCTGCAATATGCAATCGTATTCAACAAGGTATCATTTTTTGATATTACTGCATGATAATTTCATTAGTATCAAATACTTCATTTTAATGTACATGATCAATCAACCATTCAACATTAATCTCTCATTTAATTTGATTGTTGAGAAAAAAAATTGTAATAGAGCAGGATTATATTCCTAATGTGTTTTGATTCTAATGGAGGAGATCCCTTCTTTTTAATATTGAGATCAATTAATTATCAAATAAAATTTTTACCATAAAAAAAAAATTTCAAGGATTTTTGGTAGGATGATGGATGAATGGAAACCCCATCTCCTCCTAATGGTGGTGTCTTTGATTGTGAATAATGATAAGATTTTTAAAAATTGTGATTCTAAATTGAACTGAACTGCATTTTACTAGTTGTGTCTAAGTTGGTTTCAAAATTTTCATAGTTTAATCTAATTTCAAATTTAATGAAACCACATAATTATTGGTTGGTTCAGTACTTAATTTACTCGAACAAATCCTGGTCACCCCTACTTTGCTGTGTAGAACTTTTCTGAATCATCATTGTTGGTGCAAATTTAGTTAATGAGATCAAAAGAGATAAAATAGAAAATAATTAGTATTATATCAAGATACGTTACAACGTCGCTTTCCTTAAGACGATATTTGCTCTCATCAATTCTGTCGAATATGGTGTGCACCGGGTTACCTGTGAATCCACCTTCAGGATACAATGAAGCCCAGTCTAAAGACTGATGTCTGACTACATTATGCACGAACGAAATCAGATCTCGAATACTTTTGAATTTTCTAATCCACCAAGTATAGAGGAAAATAATAATATGAATGTTAGAAGGAAATTTTATGGATTTCATATGGGTGATTTCTATCCAATTTCCGACCTATTCTGCCTTTATATAGGCATGGGTTTGTATCCCTTAGACCAAAGGTCGTGTCCTTTAAATTAAAAAATGACACCCTTTAAATCTAAGATTCATGTCTTTTGGTTTAAATCCAATAGTTACACTCCTGATTTAAATCCAAAAGTCATACTTTTTTGTTTAAACTCAATAGTTACACTTTTTGATTTAAACCCAAAAATCATCTCTTTAATCATTCATATAACTATATTATATACTTAAATATATATAAATATATTATGAAAATGTGCCAACAATCATTGGTCCTTACCTTTCTTCAACTGCTCAGCCTTTTAAGTCCACATTCTTCTACTCTGCTCTGTCCCAAAATGGCAGAGACACTTCGTTTATCCCAATTAACACACCTGCAACAGAATCAGAAGCTTTTCATCTCTTCTCCTAACACCTTCCTATACTAACTCAAAACCCCATTTCTTCTTCTTCACTTGCACATTCAATGGCTTCAACCACACCCAAACAATCTTCAGCCAAACAGCTTGGAGAGCTTCTCCAAGAGCAACAAGAGCCTTTTATATTAGAAATCTACCTCCTTGAGAAAGGGTATATGAAAAACAAGTTGAATTTGCAGAGCGGTTTTCGCAATTCAAACAGCAGATTCTTGAACAAGCTTACTACCCGGGGTTCGAATATGAGAAGAAAAGTTGTTCCAACTTGTCCTAAAATTGTAAGAGCTGTATTAAAAAAGCTTGTATCAATTATTAACAAACAGACAATGAAGAATTCTGTGGATGGAGATGGAGAATCTAGTGCTGAACAAGAAAAACCAGAATCAGATGGGCTTTCCTCCGCAAGCCTTCAAACTTGGCGATCTCCTATATCACTCTCGGATCAAGAATTAAACATTAATTCGTTCTTCGAGAGTAATATAGAAGACGGGTTGAATTCTTTACCGAGAGATAGTGTGTCAGTCACTGCAGACACTTGCCGATCCTTCAAACTTGGTGATGTTTTGCAAGAAAAAGAGGTAAAATTATTGTTATTTAATTCTCTTTTTTTCATTTATTTATTATTTATTATTATTATTATTTGGTCACTGAAATTTTCTATGTAGTAGCATAATTCAACTTACAAAGTTCACAGGTTTTTACAGATGGAAAGCTTCAATGGGGATGTGGAGAAGACAAAAAGCAACTCAGTCCTGTGTCAGTACTAGAAGAAATACATTACAATGAAGGCTCACTACTTCACAGCAAGGGTGAATTTTTTTTTTAGCTAAAAACTTAATGAAAGTACACCAATATGATCCGGCTTTTTCTGATTCTAACTCTGCTCAACTTGTTTGTTATGGATCAAACAGGACAAAGAAATGCCAACAAATACTCCATAATTGCAGTTCCCTTCAGTAATTTCATCACCTGGTTTAATGAGCCAAGTTTTGAAGCCGAAAGGGTTTTGCAGGAACCAAAACAGCTTCTCTCAGAGTCCACGGATGTGAGGACATGGAGTAACACAACCCAACTGATGAATTTGGATTTTACAGCTTCAGTAGCAGAATGGAGTGATTTTGAGCCGCGGATTAGGGAAATCGGTGCGGAGATTGGAGATGCCATTTTAAATGATATCAGCAAGGAGATTGTTGCAGACATGATGGAACTTGTGGCACCTCATTTATGTCAACCTACTTAAAAAAGGTTCAGTTAATTCCTTTGTCTCTCTATTCCAATACACAGCCACAGGCACTGCATCTCTCTACTTGGACATGAATGGAGACAGAGATACCACCTGAAGTTTCTATTTATTTATTATTTTTAAATTTCTTTTTATTTTTTATTTTTTAGGGAAGTTGCATTCTATACTCGGGTATTCCTGAACTAGACAAGCAGTTTTTTCTTCTCTTTTACCTCAGCATGTTCACTGGATTTCCAGATCAAAGTCTACTAGGACTTAGTTCTTTGCTTAGAGCAACACATAAGGAATATCCAACATAGGACTTTTACTGCAGAGGTCTTGTACAATTTTATCTGTATATATACATATATATTCTTGAACATATGAAACTCAACATGCATAAAGTTTTTTTTTGTTTGTTTTGATGTCTGGCCTTTTTGATCCTTCGGAACAACTGGATGAATTAGTCGATCATTTTAGGCAGCTCGATGATATTAGACTCTATTTTATTTTATTTTTTCTTCTTCTTCTGGAGCCACTATAAAAAATTCTGTTCAACTAACACAAACCTAATCCAAATTATTGAGCTATTATACAATCAAATCCGAACCAACAAAATGTTGAATTGAATTGTAGCAAGTTTCTAGTGGGGTATGTTGAAGGCAAAACTAGAGGATGAATTGGTAGATGTTGATGTTTTAACCACCACTAAGAAAACAACAATGTTGTACTCTTTGAAAAACTGTTTAGATAAGTATTTAGAAAATAAAATGTATTGACCAGATTTATTTGAATGTATCTTTATCACATAAAATTTAAATTTATATCCTATATTTCGTTTTCTAATAACTTTTTGTTTTTTTGTAAGTTTGTGATCTTTCCAATAAGAAAAAGAATATCTTAGATAGATACACATAGGACAACCGATCATTTTCATTCGAGTGAAAGACGCTATTGTCCAAGCAAAGCTTAAACACAAGTAATCTGACAAAAATAAGGTATTTCATGGCATTTAAACCTCAAACACAGTTTTCAACGACCTCTGGAATCTGAACTAAGCATCACTTGCCCCAGAGATATGTTTGAAATATGGGAAATTATTCAATAATTCCTGGAGTACCACGCGTCTGTACTCTCTAACCAATCATTATTTAATATGTTCCCTCATATTTTTCAATCACCCAACACAATACCTTCTCTACCAATCATAATACTATGGAATATTACATGTCCATATTCCGAGATTACTGAATAATTACTTTTAAAATATAGTTTTGACTTTTAAAATCGTAGAAGGTTGTATACTTTATGCTTTTGTTTTGGTGAAAAATATTTTTCAACAAAAATTTTAATTTAAATTTTTCGTAAAAAATATTTTCTAATGTTTGATCGAGTCATTGAAACTAAAATATTAGTAGTTGTATTCGTGATTGTGGGGTGGAGGAGGTGGTGGTGGTGGTGGTGCGGTGGAGTTCGCCAATAGCAAAGGTGGCGATGGTTAGTTTGAGTGGTGGCGGCGCAGTGCTAGTGTGGTGGTGTTAGTAAGATTTTAGTTTGGAAACATTTTTTACTTTCAAAAGTGGAAAATATTGTCTGACTAAATAAATTTGTTTTCTTTTAATCATGAAAAATATTTTCTATTAACTTTTGTTTTTTGTTATACCAAATACTACAAAATATAAAAAAAAAAATATTTTACAAAAAATAATTTTTGTAGTGGTCCGAGTCAGAAAACCCAACCCATTTTAATTTTGGTTGGGACACGTGATTGTCTCGAGTCACTTTGACCATGTTTGGGTGGTTTGGACCCTTAGAATGCCTTGAGTTGGCTTTAGAACAGCAACCCAGAATTCCTGTCTTTGCTTGGTCGTTGGTTGGGAGAGAAGGTGCGTGGCCTGCGATGGGGGCTCGTGACCTTCATAATAGTCATGCCCACGGTGTCCTTGGTCACACCCACGAGTAGGTTTGTCGTCTTAGTCGCAACCGAGGTGTGTTCTTCGCGCCCACAGTCCTTTCGTCTTTATAAGTCACCAAAAGCTGAAAATATCTATCTTTTGATTCAATCTTCTCTCTCTCTCTCTCTCGTTGTATTCGTGATTGTGGGGTGGAGGAGGTGGTGGTGGTGGTGGTGGTGGTGGTGGTGGTGGTGGTGGTGGTGGTGGTGGTGGTGGTGGTGGTGGTGGTGGTGGTGGTGGTGGTGGTGGTGGTGGTGGTGGTGGTGGTGGTGGTGGTGGTGGTGGTGGTGGTGGTGGTGGTGGTGGTGGTGGTGGTGGTGGTGGTGGTGGTGGTGGTGGTGCGGTGGAGTTCGCCAATAGCAAAGGTGGCGATGGTTAGTTTGAGTGGTGGCGGCGCAGTGCTAGTGTGGTGGTGTTAGTAAGATTTTAGTTTGGAAACATTTTTTACTTTCAAAAGTGGAAAATATTGTCTGACTAAATAAATTTGTTTTCTTTTAATCATGAAAAATATTTTCTATTAACTTTTGTTTTTTGTTATACCAAATACTACAAAATATAAAAAAAAAAATATTTTACAAAAAATAATTTTTGTAGTGGTCCGAGTCAGAAAACCCAACCCATTTTAATTTTGGTTGGGACACGTGATTGTCTCGAGTCACTTTGACCATGTTTGGGTGGTTTGGACCCTTAGAATGCCTTGAGTTGGCTTTAGAACAGCAACCCAGAATTCCTGTCTTTGCTTGGTTGTTGGTTGGGGCAGAAGGTGCGTGGCCTGCGATGGGGGCTCATGACCTTCATAATAGTCATGCCCGCGGTGTCCTTGGTCACACCCACGAGTAAGATTGTCGTCTTAGTCGCAACCGAGGTGTGTTCTTCGTGCCCGCAGTCTTTTCGTCTTTATAAGTCACCAAAATCTGAAAATATCTATCTTTTGATTCAATCTTCTCTCTCTCTCTCTCTCTCTCTCCTGGATGCCATTTTTCGACCCCTTTAAGCCTTTAAGCTTTGGTTTCATCTATTTTAATCCATTTTCTACCCCTAGTTATACCAAAACGTAGAGCTTAGTGATAGCTTGCATTTAATCTGAGCGTATCGTCTTTTCGTTGCCTCTCTCTCTCTCTCTCCTGGATACCATTTTTCAACCCCTTTAAGCTTTTAAGCTTTGGTTTTATCTATTTTAATCCATTTTCTACCTCTAGTTATACCAAAACGTAGAGCTCAATGATAGCTTGCATATAATCTGAGCATATCGTCTTTTTGTTGCCGGTGATATTTGGGTTGTCTCCTCTTCGTTTTGAAAGGTAAGAATTTCTTTGCTCTTTCGCAATACCTTTAGATAGACATATGATAGTTTTACTGCATTAAAAGCATGTTTGTTAAAAGATTTTCCAAAAGCATAAAAGGGGGTTTAGGGTTTGAGTTTTGGGAGTTGAAATTGTATGTTTTTAGTTGTTTTGGTAGGTTAGGAGGTAGTTAATCACGGTTATGATGATAGTGATAAAAAGCCCTAATTTTGTTATCAAGGGTTTAATTAAATGAAAAGGGAGTAAAGATAGGTAAGGGTTAAGTTTGGTGCTATGTGAATGTGTAACGTCCCCAAATCATTTAAATTAAAACCTTACTCATGTCTTGTTTAACCCGAAATTACACAATACCAGTTGTTAACATTTGTCTCAAAGCCCTCTTTTTTGGTATAAAACTAATAACTTCAACAACAACAACAACAAAAAAAAAAAAAAAAAAAGAAAAAAAAGAAAAAAAGAGAAAAGGATGGAATCTAGACAAGTAAAGTCACCAACACGAAGACCTAAAACCTAAGTTTACAGGAACTTGCTCGATTCATGTTGTTGCTTTTTTATTTTATTTTATAGAGTATAATTAGTAGTATTATTTTTATTAGATAAAAATGAATTGTTAGTTATTAAATTAACACTTTGAGAGAGTTAAACCCCCAACCTCTCATGTTCATTTGTTACTTAGGAAACTGTCCAATGGCTTACCATTCTGAAATTCATAAAAAAGTTTTCTAGTTGGGTTGAGAGCTCGAATCAAACATGATTAATACAATTTTGAACGATTTGGCAAAACCAAACAATTTCCATGCAAGTAAGTAATATAGCAAGTAAGGCGAACAAAACGCCCCTATGCGAGCTTGGCATACCCTGTCCTAGTTTTGGGGACAAACTAAGGCTTCACTATTCAATCAAGCGACATCACTACATCTTAGACACGAGAAAGCATCATGTCCTAATTATGGAAGTTGCTAGAGCTCAATATATGAACTAGGTCAATCTGGTCAAAAATGGTACCTCAGCAAGACATCGATATACCTACCCTACCTAACACCTATAAGTGAAGGGAGGATCAAGAAATACATTGGTGATCTAGGTCCGAGGCTTGTATTCCCACCATAACAGAGTCCACATCCGGCAAGCCGTCCGAGATGTTAGATGGTAATTACAGTGCTTAAGTGCACATTGCATAAAATGCAATGAATATATATATATATATATATGACAACAAAAAATTCACCTCATGAAGTTTGAGTCAGGTTCTCTTATTTCTCCAGTAGAGTCGGTAAAAACTGTGGGAGGCTTTTGGGTTACCAATTGTGCCTAATAGTTCAGACTCCCGATTTTTGATTTGATATCACTACTGCAATGTGAAATAGAAAATGAGAGTCAAGATCCGGCAACTTTGATAGAAAATTCATTTTATTACACAATATTTTCCAGAAATGGACTACATCACTAGATTTCAGAGTTGCCACCTAATCTTTTGGAGAAATTAGGAAATCCGTGACTCGTGGCAAAGGCCACGTCCGGCATAGCCAAAGTGTCTCGGCTCGAGAACTTAGGTATGAGAGGGGAAGGTCATTAATTGAGTACCCCCTCTCACCTAATCAAAAGATCGGCCTCTACTAAGTCATGATGTGGTTTTATAATCAACATATATTCATATTGTGATTATTTATTAATGCTATCATGATGTGGTTTTACAATCAACATATATTCATATTACGATTATTTTTATAATCAACATATATTCATATTGTGATTATTTATTAATGCTATCATGATGTGGTTTTATAATCAACATATATTCATATTGTGATTATTTATTAATGCTATCATGATGTGGTTTTATAATCAACATATATTCATATTATGATTATTTATTAATGCTATCATGATGTGGTTTTATAATCAACATATATTCATATTACGATTATTTATTAATGCTATCATTACTATTTGAGGCAATTAAATATAGATAGTGTCACTGATTTTGGTTACACTTTGATTTCATGTATTTTTTGAAAAGTCTTTTTGTACAAACTCAAAATCATAAGAATCAACTACATTCCAATACAAACAACATAACCTTCATCCACTAGCATTCAGACAGATATCTTACCTAAGTACTTAGCCTCATGATATTACAACAGATGTGATAAGGAACATGCACATCCAATATGGTAAAGCCAAAAATTTTGATATAGTACTTCAAGATGGGTCCCAAGAAATGTTTAGATATATACACCTATATGTATGATCCTATATACAATTGGCTAATGTTATACATACACAATATACACATGAATATCATCTCGAGACATGGAACAACGCATGTATTCAGCTTTGAAAATAATAAATTCCACAAATGCGGATGAGTCAGACCTGAATGCTTGAAAAATGGATGCAATATACAAGTTATGATAAATAAAACATATGTAGTACTGAAAGCATGTAAATAAAAGGGTTAGAAAGACGTGGGGTTGGAAGTTAGTACAAAAATTCGAATAAGAAAAGAGGGGAGAGAGGGATATTATTACAATATTGAGCAAATAATAATAAAAAGAGATGGGGGATGGAGAAATTATTACAAAAAAGAATCGATTAAGACAAATTACTACTAAATCTAATAAATCATGCTAAGTAAAGAAAATAAACCATCCAGAAGCTCCAGAACCATCCAGGAGAGCACTCCCCAGAAACTGTCTGCTCTGTTCTTGAGAGGAGATCTCCTGCATATCACAAAATGTGCCAGCCAAACAAGGAAATGGCCGGCCGAATTCTTCTTCCGACTGGGATTTAGGTCAGTGTAGAAATTCCAGAACAGAGGCCAAAAGACATTTTTTGAGGGGTACTCACCCCTTTTAACTTATCTACTTAGATAGACCATTTGGGGAAGAGATAGATGGGCTATAACCCTCAACAATGATATAAACAGATATATATATTTTGCAATAAATCAACAGTTAAATGAATCAAAGACAAGAACAAATTCAAACCCAAAAATGGTTAGGAACCTACATCTTCTCTTTGTGAATAAGGGCAAATCAATACCCAAATCCATGCTATTAAGTGGAGAGCGTAGATTAATGCAAATAATTTCTTGGTAGAAGTTTTGCTTTTTAAAACAAGGGATTCATCAAATTTATTGAAAACTCCTCGTCTAGTCATAGAACAAGGATGGTTACACCCTTTTCTATGTTCATAAATGATTGAGAAGGGAGGTTTCAACTTCGTTTGACCCAAAATCTCTTGTTTTACTTCCGAAATGCTCAATGAAAAAGGGTAGGACACAACTTTTCCAACATCAAACCCCATGGATCACCCAAGCAATCCTATGAAATAACCCATAGCACTCATTGACATTGACTAAGAAGTTGAAACACATGGATTGATGCACTTAAGAGAAAGGATAAGTGAAGGTGAGGAGTGCAACAGCTAGAAAAAATACTCTACTTGTTGAACTTGTGAATGGATGGCTAATAGCTACTCCTAAACACATCCACAGGGGTCCAAGGTGCATAAGAACTAAGAATTAAAGCCAAGGAAAACAAGAAAGCAAAGAAAAAAAAGCTATCAACTCAATGGATGGATGGCTAAAGCTACTTCCTCCACATCCATGAGGACTTGTTCCATCCCTACAACCGTTACATAGTGAAAACAAAGCTTGAAATGAAGAGAGGAATAGAGAAAAATCATTAAAAAGTGTAAGAAAATCACCTCTTAAGAGGATAAGTCCTTTGGATTCACAAACTCCATTTTAATTCCCTCAAGCCACTTTAGATGTATTGTTTAATGTCTAAGAGTCTTAGCAAGGTGCTTAGGATCAAGCTTTAGTGGAGCTTAGATGTCCAAAACTAAAGGGTAGTAGGTAAGAAATGTGCTAAAGAGAGAGAAGGGTCAATAGGCTCTTATGAGCTTTGGGCAAAATTTATAACCCTTTGAAATGAGCTGTTGAGCTCTATTTATAGAGCTTAGAGTGTAAATATCTGAAATATTTGTGGAAAGTGTGTTGGATAAGCTGAAATTCTTGAAAATGCTCTACACTCGGAACATTCAGCCGGCCGTTCTTCTTGGTGATCAGCCTAGAGTACATTTAGCCAGCCAGTATGTGATGTCCAGCTAGTCAACATGCACACTGTTAGATCAACAAGAGAATGCTAGCTTGAATTGAGAGGAGAAACAGGTATTTCATAGGATTTCATCCCTTTCATTCATTCCTACTATATTCTTTGCTCGGTTTGTTTGAAAGAATACAACTCTTTCACTTCGAAAATACGAGAGCATCTCCAATGGTGGTTGCTATATTGCTGTTGCTATATTGCTATTGCTATAATTTGACAATTAATAGTGTTATTTTGCCAAATTATAGCAATGGTGCTCCAATGGTCATTTGCTATTTTTGGCAAATCTCAACCAACTTTCTCTCCAAGTTTGTAGGTGTTGTTTGGATATAGGTTTTTTGTGATTTTATTTTTATTTATTTTTTGTCTTTTGTGCCATTTTTTTACCTATTTGTTAAAAAAATTATATATTTATATTATTCCCAATTAGACAAATATAAAAAATAAAAAAATTTAATATCAGCTAATGTATTTTATCTTTTTATTGCCTTCATTTGAAAAAATATATTTATTTTTTTGCATTATACCTTATTGAAAATATTAAATTATAATACAAATTAGTGAACATTATACATTGAAAAAATAATATAACATTGTGAAGTACAAAATACTCAAAAATAAAAAAAACAACATGAAATTTCATTACAAAATAAAAATTATATTGCAAATAAAGACTAACAATTACATCAAAAAATAAATGATATTGCAAATTAAAAAAATACATTATCCACAATTATTCATCAAGAGGTATGGGGAAATAAAAATTTGGGCTGCTCACATTTGAGGACCACTTGGCGAAAATCTCATTTTTTCGCATTGTATAATACGCTTTCATTTGAGGGTCTAAATGAGAAATGTCCGTAGTCATTATTTGGTGTTCTTCCTTTCTCATCTCAAACTCATGTTTTTTCATCTCAAGTTCTATCATCTGCTGTAGTGCTTGAATCATTTTTTCTTCTCTTTCCTCTTTTTTCTTTTCTTTTTCAGCAAGGTGTTGGTTAAATGTGTCTAATTGTGTACTCGTTTTTTGGACTTCAGTTTCAATGACTTGATTTCTCCGAAATAATTCTTTTGCAGATTTCCTACCCATCGGCTTTTTACCCCTTGCAGAGACATTGCCCTCACCAACAGTTGGATTGTTACCAACACTTGGTGTCATCTTTAAGAGAAATGCAATTATCCATAGGGGAATTGGGGGCTAAATCAAGGGAAAATGGTGTATGTATCCTTGACTTCACCGTATTCATAAGAGTTACATCTTGCCACCTGATATTTTTTTGCAAGATTGACCAGCAATGTTCAAAAGCAAAATGTTTCTTTTCATCTTGATGGTATAAAAGTTTTGCTTGAAGCATCTGTATCAATAAAATATTAAATTAAATAATTATTTAATTTTTATATGAGACGAAATAAAATAAAATAAAAAACTAACGTAATAAATGAAGATGAAATCTTACTAGATCAACTTGAGACATCTCACTTGGGTGTAGATTTTCGACTTGCGCTAAACATCCGCGAAATTTGTTAGAACATTTCATGATTGTACCCCATCGAGATTGGATAGAAACTTGTGTTCTTGACTGATCATTCTGAAGGGAGCAATAATTTTCATAAATTCTCCCCCAAAAGTGAGTATAAGATTGTGAATTGCCAACAATTGGGTCTTCAGAAATGTAACACCAAGCTTTACAAAGTGCCATATCTTTAGGAATGGTGAATGATTTTCCTCTCTTTATTTTTGATGAACCTTCCATACCGATTGTGTAAAAAAAATATAAATAAAAATGTAATTTAGAAAGTTTGTTGTGAAATAAAATTGAGTAAAAAGAGAGGAGAGAAGGTTTGTATATATAGAAAAAAAAAGAGCCCTTTTTTTTATAGCCGTTTTAACATAAAAAATAGCCGTTGTAGATATGTTTCAGTTATGTTTTTATTTAATTTTTATTTTTTTTAATGAATAAAGTAGCACACTTGGATCTCAGCCGTTGGATTGTTATTAATCAACGGCTGAGATCAATCATGTGGAAAAATTTGGTCTTCAAAGTTCAATAAAGTTAGGAAAGTTTCCAGATCTACTCTGAACAATTTGAGAGCTTCGAAACTTCAGAGAGAGAGAGAGCACACTTCAGACAAACTTCGGATGAGTGAAGATCAAAGGGAGAGAGCTTCGGATGAACTTCGGATCAGCTTCAGATCAGTGAAGATGAGAGCCGAATTCATGAAATTAAGTAATTATTTAATTTTTATACGAGACAAAATAAAATTTAAAAACTAACGTAATAAATGAAGATGAAATCTTACTAGATCAACTTGAGACATCCCACTTGGGTGTAGATTTTCGACTTGCGCTAAACATCCACGAAATTTGTTAGAACATTTCATGATTGTACCCCATCGAGATTGGATAGAAACTTGTGTTCTTGACTGATCATTCTGAAGGGAGCAATAATTTTCATAAATTCTCCCCCAAAAGTGAGTATAAGATTGTGAATTGCCAACAATTGGGTCTTCAGAAATGTAACACCAAGATTTACAAAGTGCCATATCTTTAGCAATGGTGAATGATTTTCCTCTCTTTATTTTTGATGAACCTTCCATACCGATTGTGTAAAAAAAATATAAATAAAAATGTAATTTAGAAAGTTTGTTGTGAAATAAAATTGAGTAAAAAGAGAGGAGAGAAGGTTTGTATATATAGAAAAAAAAAGAGCCCTTTTTTTATAGCCGTTTTAACATAAAAAATAGCCGTTGTAGATATGTTTCAGTTATGTTTTTATATAATTTTTATTTTTTTTAATGAATAAAGTAGCACACTTGGATCTCAGCCGTTGGATTGTTATTAATCAACGACTGAGATCAATCATGTGGAAAAATCTGGTCTTCGAAGTTCAATAAAGTTAGAAAAGTTTCCAAATCTACTCTGAACAATTTGAGAGCTTCGAAACTTCAGAGAGAGAGAGAGCACACTTCAGATAAACTTCGGATGAGTGAAGATCAAAGGGAGAGAGCTTCGGATGAACTTCGGATCAGCTTCAGATCAGTGAAGATGAGAGCCGAATTCATGATCAATGATCACCCTCTTCAGATCAGCTTCGGATCAGCATCTCCTCCTCTTCCACTTCATCTTCGGATCAATGATCATCCACTTCATCTTCGGATCAATGATCATCCCCCATCTTCTCTCATCCGAAGCTCTCTCTCTCTCTCTCTCTCTCTCTCTCTCTCTCTCTTTCTCTCTCTCTCTCTCTATCTCTCTCTCTCTTCAACCCTCTTCTCCAACGCTCTTCAACCCTCATCTTTAACCCTCTTCAGATCGAAGCCGTAGCCTCCATCAAATCCAGGTATTTTTCTTCCAAAACTCATAATGGATTATTTGAGAAATTAATTTGAGATTATTTATGTTGGTATTCATGAAATTTTTTAAATCTGTTATTTCTGAAATCTGTTGATTTGCTAATATTGCAGAAATTAATTTGATATTGTTGTTGGTATTTCTGAAATTTTTTGATATTCTTGTTCATATTGTTGAAATTTTTGAAGATGAATTTGGTATGAATTTGCTGAAATTCTTGATGAATTTGTGAATATTGATATTGATGAATTTGCTGAAATTCTTGATGAATTTGGTATGCATATTGATGAATTTGTTGAAATTCTTGTTCATTCTGATGAATTTGCTGAATTTGGTATGAATTTGATTAATTTGCTGAATATTGATGAATTCTGGAATATTGATGAATATTGATGAATTCTTGTTCATTCTTGTTCAATATTTTTATATAAAACTTCATGCATTTTGGAAAATCCCAACTGAAAGGGAAGGAGGGAAGGAAGGAAGAAAGAAAACAGTTTAATTTTGGGTGACTTGGCAGATTTGGCAGTTGCCAAATTTGGCACCTGTTATAGCATGACATTGGAGAAGCCAAGATTTCCCAAGCTGCTATATTATGGCTTTGGCAGCTGATTTAGCCATCCATTGGAGATGCTCTGAGCTCAAAACATTGTGGTAATGTCTAGAATTGCACTGCTAAAACTCATTTTGAAAGTGGTTTTTGGTCGAAGAACATTTTGTCCAAAACAGGCATTTGGAGGATTTAAAGCTTGATTCTTAAGCTTCTTGCTAAGGCCTTTGTAAGATTAACACATCTCATCTTCGTCATTAGGAAGTCAAAAGAGAGCGCCCAAGTCTTAAGGCTAGTAAAAAATTGGATGTCTATATTGTGCGAAATTTCCTTTAAAGCTAATGTTCAATTGTTTAACAAGATCAATCAAATGTAGGTTGAAAATCACATTAAAACTTTCGACACCAATAAAATCAATTCTTCATTTCTTAACATCCATCAGTGAATGAACTGAATTGTGTAATTTTATTGGATATTTGATCTTTAAAATCTTCTCCTTTGATTAATCTTCACTTTTTATGGCAAAATCTTCAACTTGAGTAGTTTTCTCCTTTGAAGTAATTTCCAATTTGGAGGCATAAGTTTTAATCATTTTAACAATCTCTGATTTGTCTTGATTTTCTTCATGATATACGGTTGAAATTTCTTCTCCAATTTTATCAAGATCTCCTTGTAGAACTTCTTCTCAAGCATTTAAATCTTCTTCATTAGTTTTACAAGTACTCTCACCACAAACAATATTAGGATGTCAAATATTTTCTCTTGCAACTACAATTTCATTGCAAACTTTTATCAACTCCATGGGAGTATCTTGATTCCTATATGACAATATATCTTAATGATCATGAAAGTGAAATTTTCTTGCTTAAATTTTTTTCATTATTAACCACGAACGAATTTTGTCTTTACCTTCGCGAACTCGATAATCTTGTTATCCATTCCACCACTTCAATACAATTTTATCAAGTTCGTAGGATGCAAACAAAACTTTCTTTTCATGAGGAATCTTCACGTATTCAAAGAAAATTTTAAGATCAAGCAACCAATCAAGAAAATCTTCTTTTTGAAACTTACTTAAATTGTTGAATTATGAAATTTCTACAAAAACACGTAAGTAAACAGGTTGACCACGGGAAAATCCTTCGGTGCGAACGCTGTTAGTTGTTGGTTGACACAGTTTGATGACTAGTCCCAATTTGACAAATAGATTACAAATCTCATTGGAATTTTCTGTACCTCTAGCCGATCGATGTTCCTCAATCGCATCACATATGGCTTCCATCCTATTAATCACCAATAGGGCTTGTGCTTCCTACATCGATGAATGCCATCGAGCCAACGAATCCTTACTTTGATACCACTTGACGCAGTGTAATACACGGCAGAATATATGGGGGACTAGATATCGTTCTAGTATACGAAAATGGCTCTTGAATCCATGAGAAAATAAAACATTGAATCCACAAGGAAGAGAAAATTTTGAAGAAACTGAATTATATTGCATAAAACTTAACTTTACCATGAAGCTTACATAGCTATCATATATATAGACATATAAAAGTAGTGTTTTTCCTTTTCTTATGTGGTACATTCTAAGAGCTTATTTTTTTTATAAAAAAAAAAAAGTCACATCAACATGCCTTTACATAAAAAGTTCTGCACGAACTCACTTTCAATTATAACAACCAATTTTATATGGATTCTATTTGGTAATACTTACTTTCCATATATATAATTATAATTTAATTATTATGATATTTGAAAAAAAAAATTTATCTCGATATAAATTAATAAGACAGAATGTGCTTAATTATGTGCATCGCATAGATCAAATTAATTTTCTTTTATTTTTTTTTAATTTTTTTTATGTCTTATTGATGTCTTAATATTAATTAATATTTATTTTTTATTTAACATGAAATTATTTATTACAAAATATTTATATTTAATTTAAATTTTATATACCTATGTATAATATATATGTATAATTCAAAATGGATATTAAAAAAATTATTACTCTACATAATTAATTGGGATATTTACCAATAAATATCATCACACATACAAGTATTACAATTAGCCTCAAATTTTTTCTATTGATCTATTAAGTCCTATTAGTGGAGAGTTTCTTTCCATATAGTCCTATTTTTTTATTTTGGTAGTGTTTTGGTAGACAACTATATCGTTCTATTAATGTGACAGGTATGATGTGCTGTTCTAATATGGCAGGTATTAATGTGACATTCCAAAAAAACTAAAAACTTCTTAGTGTACTTTTTCAAAATGTGATAAAGTGGTGGATAAGGTGTGACACTCCAAGACTTTTACTCAAAAAAAACTAAAAACTCATTAGTGTATTTTTTTTTTTCAAATGTGATAACGTGTCGGGTATGATATGACTCTCTAAAAAAAATAAAAACTCCTTAATGTACTTTTTTCAAATGTGACAATGTGGCAAGTAT